GGTCCCCGTAGTTCCCAGAACTAGAATCTACTGGGAATGTAAGGCTGTAAATGAGCTCTTGCTGGTGTATGAAAGATTATAGACATACAAAGAGTGAGACATTCGAGAAACTTGTCCCGCTGACTTTCTGCCAGTAGTTCTTGACTTGCGTAGGATGCTATCATTCACATGGCGCGTCTTGTTCCAAGGATATCTCAGGAAATACTATCGTCATCCCGGCTTACTGAAAAAAATTGATTTTTGATTGCCGGGTTATATATCGTTATGCCAATTCATATCTATCAAGTCTGACAGTGAAAAACGCAGGACACCCACCTTCAGAACTACAGAGAGCAAAAGTAATGATTGATACACAGACCAGGGAGCCATCAGGATATATATCTAATGAATTAAAAGCTTTGGGATGGGATAAGCTGTCTCAGGGCTAGATAGAGGTGGTTAAAAATGCGATATTACATTAAAAGCATGGTAATTTAAAGGGGCTCTTTCCGATATGAGGGAAAATAAAACATATCCCAAACTTTTTCTTATATATGAAGGTCACGATCTAAACCAAAATTCGCCTTTGAGGTAGACGGCAATCAAAATAATTAATTATTTCACATTCGAGTCTGTATTGGAGAACGTCCTCTCCCCAAAAAAGAGAAGACGACTACCGCAAGGTTTTAGCCAATCAGAGTGCGTTGCCTAAAATAGCACTCGTACACTAGGAGAAATTCGAAGTAAGTCGTTTACAGATGCACGTTAGTTAAAACTCTCTCCCTTCATTGTTCGTGAACAGGTTTGTGCACTTAAACATTTAAAGAATTCATTTAACTTCTCGTCGGTTAAAATAGTCCAAAAATCAACGAATGGTTTGGAAATATTTACGACGGAGTGTAGCCTATTATGTCAACAGTGCTTGATGCCGTAATTCGCAATGCCGATTCACCGAATGAGTAACGTGTACCAGGAAATATACCGGTGACATGATTAGAGACAGTGATATTTTTCGGGTCAACTGAACCAGCCCTTTTCGGTTGGATATTTATGAACGACTGTTACTTTTTTTGTTGTTTGCTATGCTTTCTGAGCCGCAATTTTGACATCGCGATTTGCACGCACAGCGTAGCACGGACTACAAATGCGTTCCAGACGATTTTGATACTTACTGGCAGTAGTGGTGAGCATCGTGCAGATGTCAAAATCGTCAATAGGAGTGCCTGAATTTTGTGCTACGCACACACGTATCTTATCTTGCTTTTCTAGTCGATCTGTTTTTATACTTTTCAGATCGAGAGTAGGCCTATTGTTGATGAGGCAAGCAGTCAGAGCAGTCCAGAACTAGAGGGTAAAGAGCTCCCTGAGGTAAAGAGTTTTCTGTTATTTTTAAATAATACAGGCCTTTTAGTTAATCTGGCATATTCCTANCAACCCCCTTTCTTTCCTGTCTTTATTTTTCTCATTAAATGGAAGAATACAGTTTGTGTGTAATTTTAGTCAGTGCAAGAAGAAGAAAAGAAAAAAATACCAGAAAGGAACTTGAGTACTGGAGCTGTAGACTTAGTTCCTGTGTTCTTTATTCCCATTTGTCCAGTATTCTTAGACAGGTACTTCCAGCATGGAGTGTCGGAAAAAAATCAATACAAAGGCAATGTTTCTAATTTTCTTAAATGCCACATGTCTTGCTGTCAGAGCTTATCTTTTCCATTGGACTTCATTGCTAAGGTGGAACTGTAGACCACATCTAGAGCAGTTTCCTGGATAGAAAGCTTAAAAGGTTAAATGGCATTTTAGTGTCTTTGAAGATGAGTTTTTAGTCGCCTATCGTGATCTAGGTCAGTTCTGCTGTCCTGTTGTGATCAGCTCACCTTCTGCAGCAAATCTAATCCTTATGGTGTTCCACTCACAGCAGTTTTATTTGTGATTAGAAAAACTCTCAGAGAGTGCAGATTTCAGCAAGACGAATAATAAACATGAAATTTACCATGAATTAAGCAACTAATGGTCAATACCGAAATCTCATCACTTTTAATGTCCTATTTCGAGCCCACGCTTGAATTAAGCGTACAAAATTATATAAGTTTAGGACATTCATCTCATATGTATATGTCAAGGTACGTAACAATTGATTGGTTGGGTTCATATTTTTTCTTGCAATTTTTCTTCTAGATGGTTTTTTGCTTTGTCATTGTCAAGAGTTTACTGGCTAAATTATGGCAATATTACAAGAGAATGGATTTGTAATCTTTTGAAAATTGCCATTAAAACTGAAACTTACGGTGAAACTTATGTGAAACCTCAGTAGCAATAATTCATTGATTATAGGAATTACAATAAGTTTATTAAAACTGGGTCAACCAAAGGGTTGAAGTTATACAAAAAAATGAGTTAGGATAAAACAGTGAACAACTTCCATAAAATAAGATCTATAATTGACAGCAAGGGTTCGAAAAAAAAAAAAGGAGGAAATGGAAAAAGAAAATGAAATAAACATTTGGTACTATATAACAGGATTTAGTGCTTTTTCTTTCAACTTATTTGCTAATAGATGGTTAAAAGAAAGTTAATCGGTTTACATAGGTGTTTTGCTTGGTTATGAAGTTTAATTGCTGAAAGTCATAGATGCACTATAGAATAATAGCAAAGGCATAAATTAAGATATTTTTAAGGTTAATAGTAGGTAATCTAATAGTAGAAATTTTGCAGCATTTATTAGACTTATGACTTAATATATAAGACTTTTTCCAGACATCAGCTTTCATTTTAGTTTTAGATCATACCTGGCAAAGAATTGTTCAAGATTTTAAATAAAGATCTAGTAGTAGAAATACAAATAGTGCATGAATGAAATTATGGATCCAGGTAGAGTGGGTTGACATTCTGGTCTCTTGGCAGATGGAAAGTTTTGTCGCCTCGCCAGACAAGAGGTTGTGGCTGGCAAGGCATTCATTGATTTTAGAATAATCTTGGGAGATGGAAAATACTTTGAAAAGGCCACTTTTCCTCTTCCTAAGTAAATTAAACAGAGACCCTTTGAAGGCAGAAATCATTTCGAGCAGTTAATTCAGTCGGGTTTATCTGTGCAGAACTCTAATCAATTTTTCATCACTTCGAGTTCCCCAGGGGTTAGGGAGTTTGATTGGGGAGGTTGCATTGAAATGTGTTAATCAAATCTACAAACTAGGTATTATTACTACAGTGTTTTAAAACATTCCATGCCCATCATGTCCCCCAACACTTACTGATTTGTTTTAATTTAGCTCATCCGTTTAGGCTGTCTCATATTGGATTTTTGAGACGGATATTTGAATCAAGAAGAGTGGAAAACGTGTTCACTAATAACATCTGTCTGTATGGTTCAGGAAACGTCAGAAAAACTGTTTTGAGATGTCTGGGAGATAGTCTGGTTGGTCCTTCAGTGTCAGGAAAGTAGTAATGTTGCGAGGCTGAAGGGACGCTGCTTGTGGTTTAGCAGGGAGTTTCATGAAACGGTGAAAGTGGGATTACAGTACTTTATTGAGAGCATCCAAACTTGTATGATAACCCAGCATTAAAACTTGTCGTCAGCTAAAGAAAATGAAGTAAATGGCCCAAGGTTCTGTTGAGTACAGAGAGGGGGAAGGGGGGGGGGGGGCATTAAGATGATTCTTTTACATAATATCTGGACAATTAAGCTGCTATCTTTCAGAAATTACCACAACAGAAATACCTCTTGATTTGAATAGAACAAGGTGTAGCTTATGGTCATATATATAGCTGCTTAAAAAATATTGAAATCCCTTGTCTGCTTGTAAAACTAAATGTAGAATTATGTATTAGGCAAGCATGGTTGATAAAAAATAATACCATTACAAAGCGTGTCAGGTCCCCGTAGTTCTCAGAACTAGAATCTACTGGGAATGTAAGGCTGTAAATGAGCTCTTGCTGGTGTATGAAAGATTATAGACATACAAAGAGAGAGACATTCGAGAAACTTGTCCCGCTGACTTTCTGCCAGTAGTTCTTGACTTGCGTAGGATGCTATCATTCACATGGCGCTTCTTGTTCCAAGGATATCTCAGGAAATACTATCGTCATCCCCGGCTTACTGAAAAAAATTGATTTTTGATTGCAGGGTTATATATCGTTATGCCAATTCATTTCTATCAAGTCTGACAGTGAAAAACGCAGGACACCCACCTCCAGAACTACAGAGAGCAAAAGTAATGATTGATACACAGACCGGGGAGCCATCAGGATATATATCTAATGAATTAAAAGCTTTGGGATGGGTTAAGCTGTCTCGGGGCTGGATAGAGGTGGTTAAAAATGCAATATTACATTAAAAGCATGGTATTTTAAGTGGTGCCAGTCACAGACTTTAGTACCTAGTGTTAGTACATTTTCTGTGACGGTTCCATATATCCCCAAGGAATAAAGCAGCAGGCACGTGGTATACAGTGTGAGTTAACTTTATGGCCCTTTCAGCATCCGTCAATATATTGTATGGAGGCCCTTTTTACATCAAGCAATCCACTGTATGGAGGCCCTTTTTTGCCTTGGGAGAAAAATACTGTCTGTCCGCTGTCTTCTAAACATTTCTATTCTGAGTGTAGCATAAGTTTGAATTGATGAACTTTCTTTGGGCCATGTGGAAGATAAGTGTATACACTTAACATGTTTTACCCTCTTTAAATAAATGTTTTCAGTTTCAAGTATTGCCACAGTGATTGCATTTCTTTTACTTACTGCTGCCAAGAAATTTAATTTATGCATTAATTGCATTTAAGCCCTCTTGATAAAGTGCTTAAATTCAATTAAAACACTGTTAACCACATGGTGTGATATCATTTAAGTCCTCTACACTTGCGTCACATTGTATCTTTTCAGGCCAGGAGGCAGGGAATGACCGTTAATTTCATTTAAACCCTCTAAATGAAGTGCTTGAATTCAATTTAATCACTCAGAAAAAATTGTTAGTTGAGTTAACCGTTAGTTGATTTCAGCCCTCAAAAACGTTTTCACATTTCATCTTTCAGGTGAGGAGGCCATGAATGAGTACTTGAAGACTAAAGCAGTCACCATCGAGTACTGAGCCAGCTATAACTGGTCACCAGGTGGATTGCTTTCTCTCTTTACAGAGGAAAAAGGATGTAAATTACTGAATATAATATACAGGAACTTGCTCATCTATGCAATTCTACTTTTGAGGAAGGAATGGAAGGACTTGATAAACACATAAAACGTTCTGGTAAAATACCCAGCAACCTTTGCTGTTCAACTTGTCAGCATCAAGGATAACGGCAGAAATTGTATCAAGAGTAATGACAGAAATCTCAAATGATCCCATTTTTACCTAGCAACATGGACAGTCTATAAAACAAATGGTGTCTGTAATTGAAGCTGGGTTCTTGCAATTCATTTACATGAATTTACATTCTTCAGTATTAAGATGATGAGTAAGACCTCAAGCACTGGGGTGACAATATATTGAGAGAAAGTGGTCAAGAGTTGAATGATGTAAGGCCTTTGGGGTTCATCCCAGAGACGAGGGGTTTAATTGATAAAAAAACAAAAAACTAGATCACTAGTAAAAGAGGGCACCATCATACCGGGTGCACAGGCCGAGAAGGAGATTTTTGTTTGAACTTTGAACTTGTTTGAAGAGGTGAGATCAAACTGTGAAATATTTAATCTCTTTTTGATATATTTATTTATTTATTTTTAATAATATATTGATATACATAGATGTGAATGCAGCACATCAGGGTAAATACAGATGATTTGACCAGTTTTAAACTATTCCACCTTTTAATCATTATTGCTTATGATGGACATGCTTTCACATTATATAAGCAAACCAATATGATGTTTTTTTATCTGTAAATGATGGTTAACTTAAGATAACTTAATGGTTTTAATATTAACAATTACTTCCATTAAATACATGTTTCTTCCATGAGTTGAGAAAATGATTTGATTAGAAAATTAAGAAACTTTGATCAGGTGAAAATGACCTCGTGTTTTTAGAATTTTGTCAGCTTTTTTAACCCTACACAGCTTTCAGATGATTACCTTTCAACATGTGTCAAATATCCTGGTTTGCTCTTACAAGTTTTATCAAAGAATTTTAAAAGAAAGGTGATTGTAAATTCAAGACTGTAAGTTTTAGCCTGCTTAAATGTAGATAAATGTATGTAAAAGTCTACTCAGGCGAGGATATCGCACCTGTTTAAAAAAAAAGGCAAATTCATATGGCAGATTTTTCATTTTCGGGGACTAGTTCACATTTATCTTGGATTGTAGAGCTAAATGTAAAGGAGTTTAGTAATAAAACCTGTGAAACCAATAATTTTTAATAGACGTAGAACTTGGGTCAGTAACATAGTTTTCATTGTATATATATATATTACCAATACTAGAAGTGTTTTTACAAGCCCATGTCTATAATAACCTAATATAATAATCTTAAATATTAAAAAAAACTGATGTATATATGGGCCTTTGTCGTTTGTTATAAAAAGATTTAGATTAAGGTAAAAGTAATTAGTAATGGTTTATTTGACTATATAATGTAACCTCCCCTGAAACAAACATTTTATGGTGTGATGCTCATTTTTATTGTAACATTTTTTTCCTTTTAGCAATTTGAAAACTATTTGTATTTTATCTGAAATAGATATGGTAGTAATCTTTTAAGTAGGTCATGATTTTTGTCAGATGCTGTTGCTTGCTATCTGGAGCAAGAAATGATAACGAACAGAAGAGTACATGTAGCATTTAGCTAAATGTTTGTGATACATCTAAATTAAATTCATTGTAAAGTGTAGACAACTTAATCGACCTTAAAGTCACTGTGGACAATTTTGTAACCTGGTCAGCGTGGAAGCAAGTTGGACCGACTTCTGATTTGAAGTGATAAGCTAAACATATTACATTAGGCATATCTATTTTCTGTCTGTTGTATTGGATTGAGGTATGGGTGTTTCAATCCTAGTCACTGGCTCATTTTTCACCCGGTGTTAAAAAAAGCACATTTTGTAAATTTTGTGTAAAAATGTGCACGTGAAACTGGCCCTTTGATATTTTACTAAAAAATTGTGCAATGTGCAGGGAAATTACCCTGCTTTTCAGATGAATGGCATTGACTCTTGGTTCTGTCGGAAATTTCACAGGATTTTTTTTTAGAAAACCGTGTTGTGTAACAACCTGAGCTGTTGGGTGGTGCAAGCTGACGGAGTAGTGTAAAAAATCATTTTTACAGCACTTCGAATGGTAACTGAAGTCAGTTTGCGCCAGTAGAGAGAAGTTTACATACTTTGAAACTTTGACTGTTTTGCCATATGCTTATGGGGCCGTTTTACGGTGCCGTTGTTAACTTCAGATTATGTAGGATTTTGGTGAAATAATGTGATGTTCGCGCCATGTTAATTTAGAGTGAATTTTTTACATTCAATACAAAATTAAGAGCAGCTATCCTCAGTTTTTGTTCTTATTATTTTGTTAGCATAATATGAAATTCGATCTCGATTTTTTTTTTCAAATTACTGTAAAATGTACAGTACAGATACATTGAATATTTTTCATTCATATAAATTTTTGTCAGTTACTATTGTTGCGCCCAATTTGAATGTACACCGTGCGATGAAGAGTTGCGTGAAAAACTGTCTCAGACGTAGGTTGAAGATATAAATTAGCATCGCACAGCCACTTTATGGGTGTGGATTTTAGATTGAATAAAATGTAATGAAAGAGTTTATTGGTTTATTCTTTTAATTTGTATGATGTTGACTGCAGACTGATTATGAACTTTGTTGTATTCAGAGCCACTCAGACTGAATGCAAGTTTTGTTTTTAAACACTTAAGTCTTTTCAAAAACTGAATACAGAATTAATCGTACACAGTCAGAAACAGACAATATGAATGCAAGTTTTTTCGTCGTCAGCAAAACTGAACACACAACGGTAACACAAAATCACGTTTTGCGACAACTGTAGGCCTATACACCTAATGTTGATAAATATTCCAGATACACAATCCCAAACCTTCCCATATCTCTTTAAACGCTATATAACACCCTGGTTTAATATACATCTTATCTTTAATCAAACGAGACAGGAAGATTCCATGAATAGTGCTGCAGCAGATGAGAAAACAATATGACAACCGTGAGGAAGATGAAGTGAAGGCTGTCCTCGATTTAACCCCGCCTTTTCTCCTTATGAGGATAAACTAACATTACAAAAGCAAGATACCCCTCATTTTTCTTGGACGCAATAGTGACCAAAATTAAGGGGCAAAAAATAGCAGCAAAAGCACTGGGCCGTGAAGTTTTATTCTATGGGATATCAGAGGATTTATTGTCACAATAGTGGTTTGTAGCGTGCCTTGTTTGTTTCATAAATCAAGATCAAACTGGATAAAATCAGTGAAAAGCGTGTAATCATTATGTTTAATTTACGTGATATGTTTTTAAAGCGTTAGGTAGGCGACGCACACGTGTGCTTTTGCTTTTAAGTGTACGTTGTTGTTTGTAAGGGTGCACTAAAGCACATTGCGGATCATCGCATTTTAAAATTTGTATTGCATTTGCATCTCATTTTAAAATTTTCATCGCATTTTTAAATCTGCAGTGCTTAATTCTGAATAAACGGAAATGCATATTACGCTGACATAGGACAAGTTCTAAGGGAACACTTGAGATGCGTTAGAGATTGTAAAACTCAAATTCCAGATGCAGCGGTCTGAAATGGGAAAACAGGTCAAACACAAAGTCAATTTCACTCGAAGATTTTACCAAGAAAACTCTCTCTCTCTCTTTCTCTCTCTCTCGTCGTGACAGCTTCGTTTACATATGCAACTTAATAGATTTTTGTCAAACGGTTTAATCTTTGCCACTACACAGGAAATTGCTAATTGCTTAAAATTACATCGTCAGTACACATACCATTAAAAATGCAACAAAAGATGCAGGAAGTCTGCGTTATATGCATGTAATAGCGAACTGATATGTTCTTTATGTTGAACTCTACATCGAGTAGATTGCGTCGAAAATACTATCAAAATTCTTTTGTGTCATACTTTATCTTGACTTTCAGATTACTGCAATGTTACAGTGTGGTGCGTTACTGTAAATTAGACGGACTAAACTTCGGGTGGTTCCGACACGAGTGTCACGGTCTCCGACCAACAATGATCAGAACGTGACGCGGAAATTGGATTGTTGTTTCAATTTTTTTTGCTTGTTAACAACAACAAAATTTTAATCGTGCGACATGGTTATAATTAACAGACTATTTTATACTCTCTCTCTCTCTCTCTCTCTCTCTCTCTCTCTCTACGATGTTCAAACATTAGTGTGTCGGTCATTTTTGCTCGTTGTTATCTATCAATCGTGAATAAAAAGTGGCATTTTAAAATTCCACTGTACACGCACTATAGACACTATATCAGTCTTGTCTCCACGTGTAAGTTAAATTGCTTAAAGATGTCATAAAAAAGATACCATCTCATAAGGAGGGACTGTTAAACCAGCTGTTAAAGAGGGATAGATCATAGTCACCCCAAAGGACAGGGCGCTGTTTATAGACAAAAGTTCAAGAGTTTTTTTGGTTGTTTATTTGTTTGTTATTGCATAGCGCACGTGTGTGTGTGTGTGAGAGAGAGAGAGAGAGAGAGAGAGAGAGAGAGAGATAGAGAGAGAGAGAGAGAGATTTCCCCTTTTTCACATTTTGCACTGTCCACATTCAAAGATAAAATCAGGTCAACATCGTCCAGTCGCATTTTAAAAAACTTTGTAAATGACACATGACACGCACATGGACATTTAACTGACTCTTTCATTTATACGAATGATATCATCGTTAATGTTGCCCCTTTTCCAGCAAAATCACCTACCCCTTTAACCCGAATAATTCCCCCTTTCCCTTTATGCGCCTCTAACCATGATTGCCTTATACTATTCCGTCTTCTGCGGTGCAATTTTCTCTATAATTCAACATGTCGATAAAGAGATGATAAATTATTCATAGATAACTAGATAATGTTCTCACAGTGGAGGACAATCAACACAGAGTAGCTGGAAATATCACGCTACTGCAGGCGCCCTCTAGCGACGAAGCCAGATGTCACTGTTCCTGACGCGAAGGTTCATTTATTGAAGCACTATCGTTGTCATCGAGAGCAGAGTTGGCGACTTTCTCAGTCGGTCTGGTTCTGTGGAAGAGTTTAAGTTCACGAGGTTAATTTTCGCTTTTAACACACGGACACCTACACGTTAAAAGGTTGTGCACACCAGTAATGCACTCGCCGTGAATCCTACATGGTCTTATTCATGGCTGAAGCGACAAGAACCCCAGAAGCGTTCCATTAACACAAACGGAGTCAACAGGCTGTCACAGCTAACGTTTACCTGAAGCGTACGTTACATCACATCCCGTTCGTGTAATACGCCATGGAGCAGAATGGATCCGCTGGTGGAAACCCCCACCCAGAATGGGAAACATTCGACGACGACGAGGAAGAGAGAAAAGACTTCTCTGAAAAATACGACAGAGATAACATAAAAGAACGGAATAAGTCAGACTCCTGGCAGCTGTCTTCCAAAGTGAATGGTACCACGAATGTCAAGAGGGATCTGACGCACTCCGCCGCGGCGGAGGCCATGAACGAAACCACCCCCCTCTGCGCTGAGGAAGTCAGTTTCAAGTCCCTGTTCCGACAAAACTGGCACCCAACCATTGTCTACTGTAGCGTTTTCTGGAGTTTTGGGATGTGTGTGGCGTTCCTAGGACCGACGCTGTTGGATCTTGGGTGCCAGACGTCCACGGATCTGAACCACATGAGTTGGGTATTCTTTGCACAATTACTGTGTACACTTATTGGGTCTATAGCGGCCGGTTACTTGGTGAGAAGGTAGGTACCCTTGAAACTGACCAAAATAACGTGAGTTTTGTTTTTTGTGAGATCGTACGTGTAAATTGGGGGTGGAGTGCGTTGGGGGTTCGGCTCTGCGTCGTTAGATTTTGTGGCAGTGTCTTATATGGAGGGGGGTCTATGCCCTAAGTTTGTGTGGTTGTGTCTTATATAAGTATGCGGGGGGGGGGGGGGGGGGCAGGAGGGTCGTATTGGCGATAAGAGTGGGTGTTGTCTGTACACCTAATTCTTGTGGGTGAGCATCCTAGAACCCCAGGGTCACAGTGTCACCCGGTTTTTGTGCGTTAACCGAGTAAAGTCACTTATGAATTTCCCTTTTCCACACATGAGCTCCCCTCTCCAGTGTAGGGTAGGCTACTGTTTTTATAACGATCAATTGTTCCTCCCATACACTACTCCCCCCATGCCCGAACCCCCACCCCAATCCCTAGCCTTGCTGCTGCAATTTATATACTATATGCCCCAAAAGTCATTTCCTTCTTAATCAGCAAGTATAATAAAGAAAAAAGGAAAGCTTGTCATGAGAGCAGTCTCTTGTACTCTTCCGTCAGATAACGTTTAGACGGTAATCTACGGACATCTTTTATCGCTGATTATACTTTACGTTTGCCGATTTATACCTGTCAGATGGTAAAACAGTAGCATAACCTACAACTCTTCCTCTTGTCTACGTTGAATAATGTTTAGATTACTCTATGAGTCCAGGAGGGTGTGTCTTCCGTTGTTTGTCGAGATCCCCGCTCTGATACTTTTGACCATCTCGTGACAGTGCATCATTGAGTAGCGAGGATTGCCAGTGACCTTATCCATTTTAACCCGTTCATATACAGTGGCAAGTTCTCAAATTAAATATAGGCATTAAGAGGCGAACGCATATATATATATATATATATATATATATATATATATATATATATATATATATATATATATATAAAACTGTTACTTGTTAGATTGGCATTGGTAAAAGCAACGATCTATAAATCCGACACCGAGCTCTAATCTTTCCATTTTTACCGTCACGAGAGAAAATCGCCAGGTTCTTACTCCATTATGAAACACTGAAAAATAGACACTCAGAAATTAACAACGGATTTTTGGGACGAAATTTTGTGAACGGATTTTGAAAGGGTATTCCTTGCTGATAAAAAGAAAATAGCTAAAATTTCCAGGAAAATTAATTTTTGCTATATTTTGGTCTAAAGCTAATTGCTCGTCTTTAAGCTTCTAGAAAAACGTTCTGGATATACAGACACGGTGATCTAGACGAGACATAATAAAATACGACAAGACTTTTGCCATTGCTTAATGTTTCTACACATGCATGGGCAGCATAGAATTAATGACATAAATGGTTTCACATCGTCTTATGTCCATCTACATGTATACTTTTAAGTTGAAACCTTCGTTAGCAGTCTTACTACATACTTCTTTTCTGGCGTGACCAATTATATGAAAAATATTCAGCCCTATCTCAACTTGCCTCAAACTACTACATATCAGCTTGTTTTTGTATAAAATATGGAGATGAAATAACAAATATATCGGGTAAGATACCATAGTGTCCCTCTCGACATAAAACATAACAGCTGCGTGTATAAAACTAATTTTTCACTTCGGATGCTCTTCGGAACTTATCCATATTAACAGTTAGAGAGCATTCACAATAAAGTTGATAGGGGAACGAACTAGTCCGGTTATCAAATATAGCGTATACTGGACAATGAACTCCCGCCTCCCACCGTCCCAGCGGAGGCAGAGCAATTAAATCTCGGCACGCATTCAAGTGGGTGGCGCCATATTTGATCCGTGGATCTGTAATTAGTCCGCGGTTCAACCTGCTCTGAATGCTGCCCTAGTAACTCAATGAGTTCTTGCAATTTGAGCGTCGAGCCCAGTGTTTTGGAATCTCAAGGGTCTAATAATATAACGCTGTTAACCAAGAGTAATATGTCTTGGTTATTTTCTTATAATCCAACACTATAGAGCATTAGAAAGCTCATTTAAAAAGTATGTCATTCTTTTCACTTATCTAGTTATTTATTCATTGTGATATTCCAAATTATATGTTCTTGAAGCTAGAGAGATCTAAGGCTCCGTAAGTGTTTCGGGACTAATATCAGCATATGTATAACTCTTATGTCAAACCATGGCGTACGAATGTTTAACGCTCATGAGGACGCAAGCAAGATCCTTGAAGAACCATAGTTATCTTGTATTTGTACAATAATTGAGGTTTTACCTTGTAATACGTCTGGTTTTACCTGTTTCAGAACAAATCCACCTGACACTGAATTACCCCCCTGAGTATATAGATCGTGGAAGTGCAGCTAGCCTTCTGGTTAAAACCATGAATTTTTTATTTTCAGAGAAGATTATGTCAATTTACATGACACGCATTACGTACTCTGCGTCCTCAGGGTTGTTGTCTCCACGCATATTTTTATACATAGGGCCGCCGCCTGCGTCTGTTGTCGTCGTGCACTTTTCATCGTAAACACGATACAGAAAAGGAAAAGCTTGTAATTTTTTAGTCTCAAACTTACAGAAATGATCCACGGTATTAAAACACCGCTTGTAACGTACGCAACCCAGCCTGATTAGATTCTTGTATTGAAGTTACGTAGTTTTTGTGAAATTATCATTTTCACATATTGGCATTTTCAATCTGGAAATTTGAAATCCCATGGGCCTGAAGTCCTGTTATCATTTTCTGAATGTCCAAGTTACCTTTAGCATACTGAAATGCAGCGAGTAACGTTTTATCGTATTGCATCAAAATTGACAATTATTCACTGTCGTTATTTCTGCTTTATATCTGTACATTTGACAGCTTAACTACCGTTAAAGCATTGAATCCCAGTATCAGGCCCTCGATTATTCTGAACAACCTATTAAAACTACAGGTCTATGCCATTTGAGTTTCAAAATGTTAACGACCACGCGCCATATTATGTCTCTCTATATATCACATGTACCACGCAGGCAGGGGACGGGAAGCAACGGTGGTCACCATCGAGGCTTTCTGTGCCAGACTCTGTCAATCAAAAATTTATGGACTGGGATGCAAAAGCTGAGATCTTATTAGACCTGACATACATATGCACCAGTCACCACAAGTTTCAAAATAAACAATTGATTTGTCTGTTTTCTATTCACCAGAAAGACATTTCAATGCAGTGATTTGCATCTTCAAAACAGGACACGCACAAACTTCAAAGAAAGTTTTAAAAAGATACACAGGAAGCTAGAGTTACTGTCTTGTAACGTATATGAATTATTAGTGCTAGTTTCTTACACGATACAAATAAAATTCACATGCCAAAAATAAATAAATAAATAAATAAATAAATAAATAAATAAATAAATAAATAGAAAAGACCATTAATCTCCTGGACAGCAGAAAAAACCTTTAAACTATCCCTTCTACAAATGTCTTGTCGTAAATTTGATCTAATATTTCCCTCCAGTCTATAAAGCGCAGAAGTAAGTAGAAAAAATCTGTGCAAATATCATTTTTTGAGAGGAAATGATGTAACGAAACTCTGCGGCATATCTTCAAGTTATCCATTTTGATAATATACGGTCGCATTTGGTCAAAATTTGAACCAATGATTTGACATAATATGACATAAGTACCTGCGTAATATGCATCTTTAAGATAAAAAAATTCAAAGGCAATAAAAACATTAGACGCAAGGTGATTTTTGCCCTTGAAACCCCCCCCCCCCCCCCCAAACGAGCACAGTGATATCTAAAAAATGGCAATATCCCACAGGGAATTTCACATCGCCTGCGACACCTGCGTTTTGCGCGTCCTCCCTGTTAATGTGTCATCGCTGTATCGTCCCCAGAGGAGAACAATCGATAAGCGATGAAAATCGATAGAAGCAATATCACGTTCAACATGCTTAACGTAAACGCAATCTTGTGGTGAAGACAAAACACTGCAATAATACTAATCTGCTTTGAAAATACAAGCTCAGTGTGTGTCTAGTGTCTAAATGTACATATTAACAAGACCAGCCTTCTTTTCTACGGTGCCTTATATCGACTGTGGCGTTCGCGGACTTAAATGGCACGTTAGACCTTCGTATAGCAAAAGTTTTCTTTTCCAGGAATTTTTTTCAGTTTTTCTCTTTTTTTACCATGGCATACCCTATCCAAAAACGTCAAGGATATAACTATCTTCCTCCTTCCAGTTCATAACTTCTAATTTTACCGTTGCTAGTGAAATTGATCTGTCTCTCTCTCTCCCAGACGACACTGTCTCAAAAACTAGATACTTAGAACTAAAAAATGGAATTGCGGTTTATGGATCGTAATTCTGTGAAAACTTCTGGATATAATATACGTTAGTGGTTAGGGGTAAATGTTGCAATTTCCTGGAAAATACAAATATTTTGCTATATTAAGCACTTAAGCTCACTATGTGTCTTTAGTCGCAAGTTGCCGCAGTGATAAGGCTTTCGTGTTTTTAGCAGAATTTTGCAAAAGACCAATTCTTATTGCCTTTTATCTTAATGCCAAGAAGGCGCTACTTGCGTTGTCATGGTTGCACATTCATTGACGCCTTGGTTTAGAGAGCTTATGTTGTAAATAAATAGATGTGCTTTGTTGTTTGTTTATTTGTATAAGGACTAAAAGCAAAGAAACTTTCGTCTTATCTCTCGAAACGTAAAAAAGACTTCTATATTACACGACGTACATTAAGCACATTCAGAGCAAGATGATCCGCGGACCAAATACGACCGACCGAATTAAAAGCGTTGTCGTTAATTCCCTGATGGTCTCCCCGCCTCCACACGCGCTGCTGCTGCAGAGGCCTTTACTAACAATTAAGCCTCGGAGCCGAGGTCAAATAAGTTTAATGGCGGAGGAGGGGAGATCATCAGAGAATTAGCGGCATCGCTTTAACGTGGGGCAGATCAGTTAGTCTGTGGGTCATCTGCTCTGAATGTGCTAATGAGGTTCAACTCCAAGCCGTGTAGGATGGCGGAGCTCCTGTACAAGACTACCAAGAGTTGATGGCGCGTTGTTTTCGATTTTTTATTACAGGGTTTCTTCCATTATCCCTAGACAAGTTTTTATGACCTTCTGTCGACTCACTCAGTATGATTTCGTGAATTAAGATTGAATTTAATATGAACGTTCTCTGAACCCGAGACCTACGTGAACTGCTTTCGTTTACTCTTTTCCTCATTTATCGCTCGTCTTTTTTTAATGCTTAAACCATAATATGCTTTTATTAATATTTCAGCTGTGAGATAGATCCGTAAGTATAAAGCACAACCATTTAAAACGTGTGATTATTTGTGGTGAGGGTTTCTTCCTTTAATGCATTATTATTTACTTTTTAGGAACGGGTCCGATTTCTTTAGATGAGACGATCTTCAACTTCCTCTTATACAGAGATTGTACTAAGTTACTAATATATAATCTATGTGTGAAAATCTAATGCAAGCACGATATCGTGGGGTTTCTAGAACAAATCTTAAATTCCTTATGATATAGAACTGGGTAGTAATTACTTACACTACAATCTTTTTTCTCGGAATGGGAAGTAAAATAAATATGACTGAGTTCGGCTAATGTGGACGTTTTTTATTCTCGGGTGAACGGTCAACATGGATGTCGTGCGGAAAGAATCTCGGGTTTGGGTGGATTCTATTCTTTAGGGAATGGCAGTTACTCTCTTTAGTATAGTTTTGTTTTGTTTAGTTCAGTAAATTGGATGGATCGCAAATTATTCAACATAATGATGGCAGTCGTATTTCAACTTTTGATGAATTATTGAGTTGTCTGGCCTGTTTTATTCTGCTGCAGTATTATGCTGTTCGTTGGGAAAATAAAATATATATATTCTCTTATGTGGGTATTACAGTCACGTCAACTGTATGGCTTTTGCTCACAAATATGAATCTCGAATAGATATTATTACATATTTATCGGTAATATATGTAACATCTATAGACTATATTTTACTTTACTCGTGTTCAATAACTTACATATTATCAAATATTGTAAAAATGCAACATTTATACAAAAGAGGCCCTACTGGGATTCGAACCCAGGATCTCCTGTTTACTAGACAGGCGCTTTAACCAACTAAGCCATAGAGCCGAGATGGTGATGACGACTTCCATTTCTTCTCTTACCCATTGTTCATCTTATGCCACATAGTTATGAACACGTCCTGTGTGTTATTTCTTATCTGATAATGTAGCCCATACACTTAAAATTCATGTTTCTACCTGGACGTTATGGTCATCAGATTTATCATAAAATAATCGCAAATTAAAGATTAAACTGAGCAATTCGATTTATGCGTTTTTTGCTATCAAAGAATAATTCGATGAACGCCCACTTTGCTGGTCAATTATTTTGGCCGAGTGTTTCTTTAACTTAATAGCCGAGCTACAGTAATCAGATTATCGATAAACGAAGTGGAGTTGATGAGCATTTTTAGATACGTCCTTATCAAATCGGAGGGAATTACTAGTAATTTGTTGGTTTTTTTATCAGCCTCAGCTACAGAGCAGACCTGTGAGGACAGCTGTTTGGGTCTTTGGGGTCTCACATAGGTATTTATATAAGAGTGCTGAAAACCCAAATTGAAAAATGCCATTGATAATTAGGCTCAAATGTTTATAATACCACAGAACAATCGTTCTCCGTACTGTAAATGGTTCATACTTTATGTATATGGTAGGACTTGAGGAGTATCACATAAGTTATTTAATAAATTTGCCTCCCCCTTTATGTCTTATAGAACTACCTTTTATAGTTATGCTAATGTCAATAATAATAATAATAATAATAATAATAATAATAGTTAAGGCTTTACAGCAACTTTTCTATGACCTGACATCAGATAAAGATCAACCTACTGTAATTCTACGAAAGAGGTCAGGTGCTAAATAGCTGCTTTTTAACTGTTCCACCTATTTCTGACTGTCTGTAAAACCAAGAAGTTATAATCTTTATAACTTCTTGGTAAAACAAAGAGCAGCCTCCTTAAGCTTGAGATATTCATCATATGAAAACTTTTGGAGAGCGTTGCATGCAGTACTATGGTATAACCCCATAGTAAAATATGTTACTTAGTGTGACACTGGCAATTTTTTTCATTTCCAGTCGGATATATTTGAATTCATCTGTCACATTCTTTTCAGTTTGTGGTTCTGGGATTACCTAAAACATGTCTCCCATCGTTATTGGGGGAAAACATACTCCAGGGCAGTAGCCTGAGCAAAATGCCAGGGGGGGCAGTAAGCGGACACGAGGGGGCGAAGCTACCGAGGGGGGAGGGTGTGGTGTGTAAACTTCCAAATTCCAGGGGGGGCAGCTGCCCCCCCCTGCCCCCCCGGAGGCTTCGGCCCTGTACTCCGTTCGTGTGTGAGAGAGACGCATCAAAGTATATCAAATAACGCAAAATTAAGTCGCTCTCAGTTAATCACAAACCAATTAGCACAAATGTATTGCGAAACGCTTCGAGTTCTGTCAGATAAATCTGAATTGATCACGAATATACGCTGTACTTACCACCATAGAGACTTAATGTGTGAAATCTTACAGTGATTTATTGTCTCGTTGCATTCATCGTTGTTATTATGTGGTTTGTACAGAACTACCACCGCGATGAGGAGGAAGGTTTATTGTGCAGAGCTTGTCGCAAAATTGGACAAGTCATTACTGTGGAATAAAGCGCACAAAGATTTGTAGAGATCAGCGCAGACGCAAGGACGTCTGCCTTAATTATTATTTTTTCAGCAGTTAAGAAATCTACTTTGTGATATCGCAAAAAAAAAAAAAAAAAAAAATTACCCCATAAACTATAAAATAATAACATAATTGTTCGATACAGAGACAGGTTTCTTTCAAAAGGTGTCTTTTTTTACCCAATTTTCAATCGATTCGACAAAATCATTCTGGTATTAGGATTAAAGCATAACATACTTAATTTTTTATGTGAGTTATTGATATTGCAATTGCATACTACTTTGTCGTAATATTGGATCAAGAGTAGACTAAGTGTTTTTGTATTGCATCAAACTCTATTTATTTCATTTAATGTTTTTAGATTACTAGCGACTTGATAATACTGCCTATTTCCGCTGTTATACCGGTATGGAAGTAAGCAGGACACAATGCCTCAAATATTATTCCAGGTATATCACATGAGATACGCTAAATCAAACGCCAATATTCCTCTTTTTCTTACAGGATATCCACGGACGTTATCATACTTGTCTCCACCATCTTAATACCGTTCTCCATGTTCGTTGTTCCCTTCTGCGGGGTGTTGTCGACGCTGGGGGTGGTGCTAGCTCTCATGGGGCTCAACATGGGAGTGATTGATTGCTTGGCAAACTTACAGATGATCAGTTTATATGGGGAGCTGGTGGCGCCATTTTTACAGGTTTGTTTTGTGTTGCCTTTGAAAGACATGGGCTTTAGTCCTTTATAAAGTCAAAATTAATTTTAACTCTTTCCCCTTTTATCATCCTGTTTTCTTTCTTTTTTTTCCGTTACGAGTGCAATCTCTCTCTCTCTTATTTTGCTATTATCAAAATTTTTGAAGGCGATTTCTTTTTCATCTTTTGTAATCTTTACTTTTATTTAAAAAATGTGTTTGTGTGTATGTTTGTGTGTGCGCCGGTGCGCGCGCTAATTGTATAATAATAATAATGATTATTTATTGAGCACAGAAATGTTTTTACATTTAAAGGTTCTCTAACTACTATATATATATATATATATATATATATATATATATATATATATATATATATATGAGTAATTTAGTGATGACAGTAATTATGTTCTCCCTTGTTCCGCGACGCTCTTACATATTTTATGCAACGCTATGAATCCAAAACATAATTAATGCAAAAGCTTTCACCCGCTGGGGATAAACACCCCTTAAAAGTCTCTAAATGATGAGCACAGGCCATTAAATAATAATGGACATTAGACCAAACTTTCCCATACCTAATATACAAACCACACTGTCCAGTTTCGGGCCACCGCGTTTAGGTGCAGCTAAGGTGAAAAGCCATGTTTAAGTCTCTCTTCAGAGTCAACCATATTCGGTATCCTGCATGCGAGATGGCAATCGCATCAGGGATAAGTGGCTATAATATTGCGGTGCCTTTTATAATGCTGCAAATTGATAAGTATTCTGATATGTCGACAGAAATGATGATACATATAGTTTAGTCGATAATATACACGTTAGCTTCAAAGTCACGAAACGCATGCTATGATTGGCCAATTTTGTGACCAATTCATACTATCAATACGATGCAAGGCAATTTTGGAAGACTCGTGCCGATGGGGACATGACCGGGGGAAAAAACTGCAGGCATAAAGATAATATGGAAAGATATGAATGATGATGGCCAATTAAGTTGAATAAATTCAGTAGCTAAAGTTACAATAACATTATTATACAAAATGTGAAACTAGAAAGATATTAAAAACAGAAAGTTTCAGAACAAATTATACGTGTACATTTGATATTATTTTGCTTTTGGTGGGATGAAATGTTATATGTAAGGCGGACAAGCATTTCAATCGTCACGCACTCAATTAAACATGGCAAATCAACTTATTTTCAGGCGATGCATTTTTGCTACGGCTTTGGCGCCTTCGTCAGCCCGATGATTGCCGAACCTTTTCTCCTGAACGAAGACTGCACTCCGTTTATTATAGGGGTAGAAAATATGACGGACGCCGACGGTCTCATCCCCCTTAACGACTCATCCCTACCCGCACACAGTGTCTCTGAAGCTCAAAGGATGACTCATGTGAAATACGCTTTCTGGTTGATGTCGCTCGTTCAGGTAAATAACAGCTGTCGCTTCCACGGAAAGACTCCAGTTCCAAAGAGTGGGGTCTTAATTTTCATGATTATTTTTCGGTCTTTTTTTTTCGGTCTACTTTGATTCAGGATACAGTAGTTCACTTTATGAGAGTAGTAACTGGTTTTAATTCTAAGTCGTTTCTCTCTTGTTATAAAGCAGGTACAATGATTCATTTATTTATGATGATTTGATTTATCCTGGGTCGAAGTAGGCTAAAACTTACTCTAAAAGTGATAGTTTGTTTTTGGTCTACAGTTCTTTAAAACGGCACCTCGTTGGCAGATTGGTGCATCATCTCCCATCCACTCACACAAATGCACGCTTACGGATTGAACCAGACCTCAGATGAACTAAACCCATTGATTGTTGTCATATTTCAGATAAGAGATAATAAAGCAAATAATGACTTGGAACAACAATATTAGAAAGGTAGATCATTGTGTTAGATGTACTTTTTGAATTGCTTATTTCTCAACAGTCGCATTCTGCACAATGCTCGCTGCTTCAACCCTTTTGGACATGAGTCACACGCCAGAACAATATTGAAGTGCTCCTGGCGCAAACCACTACATTAAAATGCAGCCTTTTCCTTCTGTTTTTCTACTTTTCATTTATTCATCATTTTTTTTCAGCTGCCAATTCCGCTTTTGGTGTGCAGTCTTGTCTTCAAGGACCAGCTATGCCGGGCGCTACGCAATACTTTTGGAGACTCCAAGTTATTCTCGGCAGAAAGCACTCTGTCTGTCAATCACTCCGCAGCAATAAATGGTGACATGGAACTTGAAGGTACTTGTACTGGAAATAAGACATGATTTTGGAAATTTTTGAAGAATATTATTATGTATTGAAAACAGACTTTGAGTGTGTTTCAGTTTAAATGCTGTGAAATGGCACATCTTTAATAGTAATTAGTCACAGATATACGCTTTAATTTTACAAAATTAAATAACAATTTGATTTGACATAAATTTGATGGTGATTGAATTTATTTCTTCCCAGGGAAAGGGGAGACAAAATTCTTCAGCCAGTTCCATCACATAGCAGGAATAGACCCAAAGACAGAGTTCAAGATCAGCAAGAAAGAAATTATTGGCATCTCAGCCTTGACAGCTCTTATTCTATTTATGTATGACGGTTTACAAGTATGTAACCTATTGTTATTATTTTTACTTTCTGTTCTTTATGAAGTGTATTCTGGACATCAAAGAAAAAGCCTTTTTTGCACACCCCATCCAGTGTCATATAAAATTATCATTATTTTAGCAGTACAAGTAATAGTAGTATTTATTAACAATGTTTATTTACAATGTTTGAAAAGCTGTCTTTTTACAAGACTTAAGTATATGTTTTCTACCTTTTCTGCCTATAAGCCCAGGAAGGGGGCCTGGTCACAACCATGAGTATTTTATTTTTATGTTGATTGTCTCTTTCACTTTCCTTCTATATCAGTGTTCCTCTTTGGACAAAACATCTTTCAGATAGAAAAACTTGTCTAGTCTCTTTAGAAACAATTTATTTTTATGTCATGCTCATGATTAATTTTCATATTTTTTCATCCATTTTACAGTCAGTATATGGAGGATATGTTTACTCCTATGCTCTCAAAAGTATTGTTGGTCTTAACAAGACAGAGGGAGCTTATCTGAACGCTTTATTTTGGGTAAGTCATATTTAGTTTTTTTAAATAAGCATGTATGTATGAGGAAGAACTAGGCCATCTTTTTTCATACCACTCTTAAGCCCCGTGCAAAGTCCTATTGTTGTTTAAAGTTAAGAAGACAAACTACCAGTGATTTTTTTAAATAAAAGAATAGAAAAGTTTCAATGGCAAATTTGTGTTATGCCTTTAAAGGTCAATGTCTCATCCTTTCAAATTATTATAAAGAAAATAACATTAAATTATTTATCACAAGTTTAAGAGACTGACAAATAAGAGCGTTTAAGATTTGTTATTTTGCCACAAATAATTTTTGTTTTTTCAGGGCACATTTGCTCTTGGTAGACTTGTATCCATTCCACTAGCCACCAAATTTTCTTCAGCATTTATGCTTATCTGCAACATAGTAAGTATAGAATGTGCTCTGTGGTAAAGGTCTGTGAGAGCACTGGATGGCAATGGTTGTGACTGGTGTAGCAACAGAACTGTCATCATTGTGTCAGGTGCGACAGTAGAATGTGCTCATTGTGTGAGGTGTCAGCATTTGGATGTGACAACCAAAAAATGTGTTTATTGCGGCAAATGTGCCAGTTTAAAGCTGATTATTATTAGGTGTGACAGCAATTACTTTATTGTGATAGCTGTGATAAAACATTATTCAAAGTAAATCAAAATTATGTATTGATATTTTTCCATAAAATTTTCCATTCTCGAAAAATCTATCTTCTTTTTTTCCAGTCTGGTTGTGTGATATCTATGATATTAATACTGAGTCTGCGGCACAATCACATTGCCCTGTATTTTGGTACAGCTTTCTTTGGGGCCTTCCTGAGCAGTGTGGCTCCCACCACGATATCTCTAGCAGAACAGTTCATAGATATCAACTGTAAGTAAATGAAATAAGTAAATCATGTCATAAATATGTTTTATCATTAACCATAATATATCTGTAAAAAAAATTAAGATATTTTTGTAAATGTAAGAAGGAAGTGTGAAAATTCTTAAATACAAGCACCATAAAAAAAGATTTAAAGGGGTAAAAGCTCTTCATATACAATTCAAAATTCCTCAAAAAAGACATTGTAAACAACATGTAGAAATATAATACATTTCATTTACCACCAAAACATGCATTATCCCAATTATTCTGAAACCTGTGCTTGCCATCAGATGGCTTCCTTCCATAATAATGAGATTATTACAAAACCACACTGAAAAAAACACTACACTAACTTTAAATGTTGGAAGGGATTCATAAAAAACTGGAAAGTATAGGCAATAAATGTCTTTTTCCCCAGGAAAATCAGTTTTCTTTTTGTTTCCTTCATTCCAGCCACCATTACCACAGTAATCATTGTCAGCGCTGCCATGGGAGAGATGATATTTCCAGTGATAGTGGGACAGGTATGACATGTGCTTGCATGCGCATGCACACACACACACACACACACACACACACCACAGTTCATTAGCTGTAACATATTCATTTATTTGTTTATTTATGCACTTATTTCTTCTGTTGTTTTATTCAATATTTTATTTATATACCTATTTTCTTATTCATAATTTGGTCATTTTCAGTCAAGATGTTATTTTCATTCTTCATTCTGAAATGCCAGGTCATTTAAAGAGACTGAGTTTCCTTAATTCTTTAATGTGTCAATTTATACACTTATCTTCATGAAATAAATAGATATTACAATTTGATGGTAAATGTTATTTAACAGTGCATTTATCCTATGCTCTTTTATTAATAAACAAAGATAATTAGAGGCTGTACTGTTTGTCTCTAAGTATATACCAGGTGTAAGGTAATTACTGAAAATTGTCATGCACCCTATATTTCCCATATTTTCCTTTTAATAATTTTTAACTGCTCACCAAAATGTATTTACTGGTATGAAAGCAATTAACATTTCATAAATATTGAATCATAACAATTTTGATTATCACTAACAGGAAAATGTGCAGGGAGTGGTTATTAAAATTCATTTTCAATTGTTTAAATTGTATGAGTAATTACCAAAGTAATGTCTTTGGCCATAATGGAATAGTCATAACATTCTTACAGATGCAATATTTCTTTTCTTTTTTCCAGATGTTTGTTGACCTTGGTCCAGTCAGTTTTCTGATATTTGAATGCAGCATCTGTATATTTTCTTTACTCGTATATGTTGCCATATGGATGGCAGGCAGTGGGACTTCAAAATATAAAGGTGAGAGAGAGAGAGAGAGAGAGAGAAACTACATGATTAATGTATGTTAGAGTTACAGGAATGTAACTTTATTATTCTACAACCTAACTCTACAAGACTAGACAGTCAGCATAATGATTGTGCCTCGCTGCCCTCACAAGAATATCCCAATGTTTTTTTTTTTTTTTTTTTTTTTTTCATTGTCACAACTACCACAATCAGACTACTCAGTCACAATGAAACCTCTATTTGTACAGGAGCCAAAAATATATTGTATTTATGACTGTTTAGCACTTGAAACACCTGACGCACTGCTTCCAAATGTACATATTCAACACAGCAGATATTTATGACGTGTCTGAAGTATAAAAATGTGAAATATGCTTGAATTTTAAATAAAAATTCATGATTAAGAATTAATGTTTTTTTATTTCAGCCACAAGTGGCGGTTCATTCGTATGGTGCTCAGCACATATCAACAAGCACAAGACGCATGAAAAAGGGACTGTCAAAACCACTGTCAAATATTACAGCCGAATGTCAGAAAGTGTCAGTGACACAGACATGGATGAATACCAGGGTATTCCAGGCTATAAAACAACCCCACACTACCCCCAGAAAGACATCGAACAAAACGGCCAAAATAAGTAGATGGATGTCAGAAGTCGTCATTGGCACATGTCAGCACATGGATGTGAGCAAATGTCTTTGGTACAAATGTCAGTAGATGGATGTCAGAAAATGACATTGAAATGGATGTCAGAGTGGAAATGACATGGCAATAAATAAAAAAAATTGTAGTGACACTAAAATACCTGAGAGAAACAACATAACCAGGATTAATGAAATGTGAGGTGGTGTCAGTTACATGTGGATTGATGTTGGAAAATGCCAATAGCATTTGTAAGCAGTCAGAACCAGAGGTGACCTAGAAGGTGTCAAAAACAGATAATTCCTAAATGTCAGATTGTATCAAAACTGGCTACTACTACTATCTCCTGTTACGCCGTTGGGCGTCTAGGGCGTCAACAAAGGTCCTCCACTCCATCAAAACTGGCACTAGCAAATAAATAAACTGACACTAGAAAAAATTAAGACAGGCCAGTACACAGACAATACGAGGGCAATCAAAAAAGCACATAATAAAATGTCGTAAGACCATGATTCTTGGCAATACATTTAATGTATATTTCATGAAACATTGATGTAAATGTAATACCCAGGACTGACTTACTGACACTTTGACTTATCTAGTAGGACCCATGTTGCAATGCTTTATTTAAATGTGGCTTTTTCATAGTATTGATATTTAACAACTTTTGAAGGATTGCTTATGCTTTTTATATTGAGCAGTATACTTAAGCAATGCAGCCTAGGTTCAAATACATCGAGCATGTCTCATCTTTTTCATAAATTGCGCAAACATTCCTAATTGTAATCAAAACAACACCAGCAAATCTCCATGAACAACTACTTATGTGTACTTCTACCAGCACGTGCATACACACACACACACACGCACACACTTTTCACTTGCACTAATGACTAATTATCCCAAGTCCTATCTATATATACTTCCCAGAAATTCTTAGGAGTGAATTTCAAAAGCTCATGAAAATACCTTTTTTTTCATGAAAGCATATGAGTTTTTATTTCAAAGTTCCTTATGTTAAGGATTATTGATATGGAATTATATTGTGTTAGTATGGAAACCGTATTATGTAAAATATACCTATGTCTGTGATAAATGTTTTCTCTTCACTCTGTGTGACAGCTGGTGTAGTGCACTAATCTAGTATTTTAAATAGGTTTCCATAAAAAATCATCTTTAGAGATATTATGTTTTATTTTTAACAAAATGATTTGAATATTTCCATACATCAACCTCTTGGCCCTGTGAATTGGAACATATGGCAGTGTGTATTTTCTATATTATTATATGTCTGAAAATCGCACAAGATTTGAATAAATATGAAAGGATAAATAAATGGTCCATTCTTCAAGAGTTTTTCTTTATTTTTCCCTTCTTTCAGTACAGAGGCTTGCTAGTTCACAAAATAATTAAAGAATCAAAATACTATTTAATTGTTTTTAATTCGAACAAATTTGGATTGACAATTTCTATCAGCGGTGAAAATAGTCCATTAAGTAATATTAACTTGCCTTCTCATTGGCCAGTTTGTGAAACGCTTTTAGACCTATAAAGTCGATATTTCAAAGTCGGCCTTACCTAGTTGGCTATCCCAAGATATTTCGCAAAAAAAAAAAATCATTTCTAAGTGACAAAAATAAACAAATTTTCTCTAATTAACCAACTATATAATTCTCCTCACATGACACTTTCCATACGTCTCTATAACGAACTGGTTAAGTTATAAGGCCCACAACCCACTCTAAGAAAGCGTGGGTTTCTCAAACTCCCCCATCATACTCCCCCAGCATTTCGAATACTCGCTTCTGGGTTGCACATGATTTAACCTTGATTCAAGACTGGCGACAGATAGCAAGGTTTCTCAGAAAATTGGATTACTGTATCTTCCGCTGCATTAATTAGTCACGACATTTATCTGTAAGAAAATGATAAAAAAAAGTATCACTTGTCCTTAGATAAAAAGAGTTGGTTTGAGTATTTTTTAAGTTGAAAAAATGTGAGTTTTAAATCTTATAGTCTAAGCCAAGGTTAAAATTGCCTGTACAAACGTTGCAGGCTTTCGAATGGAGACTAACAGTAACACCCTCGAGATCCCCTTTCTTCAATTAAAGAAGATTTACTATAAAAAATAGTTTTAATGTAATTACATTTTTTCTGCGTGACAGGGACTACAGAACTAAAAAAATAATTATGCATCATTTCCCATTTCCGTGGTTCCTGATAAATTAATATGTAGGAGACCAGAGAATTGCCAAATAATTTGTAATTTGTGTTTTCTAAAATTCGTATTATTCAATCATTGAAAGTTGCCGTAAATGAATTTTCGATTTCCCCATTGTGTGGTCCCTGGTATGCGCAACAAAAAATTACCTCTTCCCCTCTACCCCCCCCCCCCCCCCCCCCCTTCGCCCCAATCAGTGCATCAAAATTTTAAAAAACTTGTTTCATGTTGTCATGTTTAAGTTCGTGTTCCCTATTAGGACGTTCTGGTCAGCGTTCCTCTGCGTGAAAGATTTTAAACACAAGCGTCTTAGAAGTTGCAATGGTTCTTATCATTAGCCATCTCATTGGACGTAGATCTTTAAGGCACCATTTAGAATAGGGGACTAACTAGTCCGAGGGTCAAATATGGCGACCCACTACAAAACTTGCCGTCTAATCCGCTAATAGACACTGAATAGATATCCTCTGGGGAAGTATTCAAGTGGGTCGGCCATATTTGACCCTCGGACTAGTTAGTCCCTTATTCTGAATGGGGCCTCTGACACCTATGGCTTGCGATCGTGTGAATTAATTGATGCATCACCATAATGAACGTAATTTGTCAAAAACGTTTCAAGATTCTCACATCACTAATGGATTGTTGCTGCGCTATAAATCCGTTGCATCTGGTACAAGCACGCAAGTGTTATGAGAGGTTAATACGATTTTATTTGTAAATGGGATATTTATAGGTGAGTAATTTCCGCAGACGTGATTGCTCTAGGAAATGGAAAACTGAATGTTTTCTGCAATGACGTGTTCAAAATAAGTTTTAGCATGGGACGGAATGGCATTTCACGGGCGTTATATTAGAGATGAAATTGTACAAGGGTCTCCCGAGATAACACGAAAATGGTACTATCGTGCAGCGAGTTTTTCATAGATTGACACATTTTGATGAGGCAAAAACGATAGACTGATGGAAAATATATTGCTCGTTCAAATACTGAAATTCTCGAAAAAAGAGAAGTTTCTGTGAGAATCTTAAATATGTCCATGGTGCTGGTGTAAGGAACTGCGGGTCCGTGTAACAGAACAGCCATTCAGTTATAATGGTTAGGGTTAGCCTGACCTAAGTGGGTCAATCTACTGGCAGGGCAAGGTTTACCTATACAAATGAATGGGAAGGGAACTCTGTATCAAGGAGGACGTTACACCGGTCCTTCATGTATAAACATGGAACTAGGTTTTTACTTAGAGGGAGGAGGGAAGAGGGAGAGTAAAATGTCTAATACCCCCCCCCCCCCTCCCCCCGTTTGTGACCTTTGAAATTCAGGGTGTTCAGGAGAAACACGTGACATAAGAGTGAAAGTATTTTTTCTTTTCCAAGTACTAAATTAACATGATGGTCAGATGGTTTGTTTGGGAAGATGTGATACCTGTTGAAAATGGACAGTTGAAGAGTTGCATTACTCCACGAAATGTAGTTTTTGGACGGAAGGACGTTTTTTGGTTTTCGGCCTATTAAATAAAAAACAATACTTATAACTTAGGAGAGCTAACATGCACATACGCCATCTCATATATAATTTACACACTTGCTCTAAGAACAGAAATATGCAGGTAAAATTAAAAGATCTAGAGAAAAATATACTGAGCGAAATGGCTAGATCGTAATACGTATGTTTCATGATCTCATATGTGTGTTCTATTTGCGTGACGCTCCCACATGCGACTTTTCCCATGCGATAAGAAAAATCTTTACCGACACGAAATAAATAGTTTCTTTTTTTTTCAAATAAAGTAGGATTACGGGATTACACAGAGTAGAGCCAATATGGGAGAGAGACAGCGTGTGTTAAGTGAGTGTACCGTATATTAATGTTCGCTGGAGGAGTTGGAGGGGGCGAGAGGAAGAGTACAAAATGCAGCACAGCACTTTACCATAAGAAGCGGCGAATTTTTTTTTTTTTTTTTTTTTTTTTTTGGGGGGGGGTCTATTTTTGAAAAAAAAAAAACACACCAATGGTCCCCTCTTGAAATTAAAATTTTAACTAACTGAATCATAGTTCCAAACCGTACCAAATAGCATCGTTCGATCTCTAAAATAAAATTTTGGGGCCCTTCAGAGGGCCCCAAACCCCACGCCAAGGGGGGGGGGAGGGGGGAGCGGGTCGGCTTCGCATCCGCGCCCCCCCCCCCCTTCAAATAATCCTGGATCCGCCCCTGCCTAAGTTTTAAGGCTGAAGCGGCTCTTCTGCGTTTTCTAATTCAGTAACATGCACATTCGGCACGTCTTTCTAAATGCGGGTAAATATGGAGGCGAGTAAGTAAGCGAAAAAAAAAAGGAA